GCCGGGAGCAGGAGCTGGCCGAGCGCGAGATCGACATCGTGGAGCGCGAGCTCAACATCATCATCCACCAGATGTACCAGGAGAAGCCCAAGGTGAAGAAGCGCAAGGGCCACTTCAAGAAGAGCCGCCTCAGGCTGGGCAAGGACGGCAACCGCATCAGCCTGCCCTCAGGTAGGGCCCGCCGGGCGCCCCGACGCAGTGCCGGAGCCGTCCACCGGGGGGCGACGCCGAACCCCGCGCAGGAGCGCGCCCTGGCTTGACCGCCGCCCCTCCCTGCCCTGTCTGTCTCTCCGCAGGGTTTGAACACAAGATCACGGTGCAGGCCTCGCCCAGCGTGGACAAAAGGAAGGGACAGGGGGGGTCAGACGGCACCACCCCTCCTGGCAGCCCCGTCGTCATCCCCCGTCTCCGAGCCATCCGCTGTGAGTGACACCGCCGCACCTAGAGCCACACACGCGGAGTGGACACGCACACACACGCAGAGTGGACACGCACACACACGCGGAGTGGACACGCACACGCTCTTGAACTTGAACTTTATTGCCGTGTGGAACCGGTCCGTGTACTGGTGCAATGGAATTCTTACAGAAAGTCTCTCGATTGTTCGAACGAGTGTAAAAACACAAAGTGCAGAGAGTGCAGCAAGACAATATACAAACAAACAGTAGACAAGGTACAAGTAAACAGTTTGAATGTAAACAATGCAGACGTGTCAACAATGACTGCAGATGTGCAATAAATACGAAATCGTAATGAGGTAGAGGGTGTAGGTGTGGTCCGAGGGGCATGGCCAGATGTGTTCGCCAATCGCACTGCTTGTGGGTAGGAGCTATTGAGGAATCTGGTGGTCAGTGTTCGTATGCTCTTGTATCTCTTGCCTGAGGGCAGTGGGGTAAAGAGCTCATGCCCGGGGTGGTGACTGAGCTCTTCATCCCACTGCCCACAGGCAGGGGATACAAAAGCATACGGACACTTACCACTAGATTACACACTCACACACAGACACAGTGTGACCTGCTCACGCA